TCAGTCCAAAAAACCTGGAGTCCTGCTCTTACCTTTCACGTTCAATCTTCCTCTAAGCTAGTGTCCAGAGCAGCCTACTCCCTGAGAAAAAAACCTAAACAGATTGCTTGACATGCGATTAACAGGATTAGTCTCCTCTGTGGTCAGTCTTTCTGAGCCACGTTCCACTTGCCACAAGCTGATTAGCTGTCTGCTTAAGGAGGAGCTGGGATAAGTTTCCTTCTGACGGCAGTGAAGTGGAGAGGCAGGCACTGACTGTAATAATATGCCGTTTCCTGTCTGCGGCTGAGCTGAGAGGTACTTCCCAACAGAAAAGGGTTTACAGGAGCTCCAGGAGTTCAAGCTCCACCTCTTCCAGTGAAGAGCCTTTAACTACAGAGGACGGGTCAACAACATGGCTCCTGGCGCTCAACAACGTGCTCTGACCAAGCTTCGCTTCCACTAAAGCATCGGAAAGAAGAAATCAAACTACACACATCTCTCTCCACAGAAAGGAGCTTTCCCTTATGGGATCTCAAAGCTCTGAATGAGAAGGGATGGGAAGTAAATGTTGTAATCCATGTTATGTGAATGAGGGTGAAAGTCCGCATCACCGTACCACAATTTGCTAGCAATAATTGGAAAACATTTACAAAAAGACCACGTGAGAATCATAGTGAAACACAAAATATGTACCTGGAAAGAACTGATGTCCTTCCTAGGCCCCCTCCTGTTGATGACAGGTGTTGTTTACTAGTGTTGAAGAACATGTATTTTAGGGTTTTTTTCCCCCTTTAGCTTTATACAAACCCTGCACAAGGCAGGAAAGGGTCAATGAACTGATAAGGACTCACTCCATCAGCTGTGCCGACTGCATTGGAGGCAGCAGGCTTAATTCAGTTGGCACCCTGTAGAAAAGAGCAGATCTTCAGCCAACAGACCAACCTGAGAGGTAAGAATTTGTTCACTCTACAAACGTTTACAAAAATGGGCCTAAAGAGATGACCCAAAGCCTTTCAAAGACACTTGAGGGGATAGCCGTGGTGGCAAAGTGTTGGCCTGAGCAACAGACAATAGAGCAACTGGTGCCCTCCCCCAACCTTACAGGCTTTGTAGGGAAGAATGTGCATGCTGGATGGTTCAGGTCCACGACGCAGGTAAAGCACTTATTTTAAGAAAAGTATTTCCAAAACCCAGGCTTCCTGGCATCATGTAGAGAAAAATCAAAGCATGGAACTCATCCTCATCACATCTTTTATTTTAATGCTCCTGGAGCAACTGCGGGCTAATGCATTAGACAGGTACATCAACCAATCAAGTTCCTGTGAAACTGCACCGTCCAAGAAAAAACTGTTCATGGAGACAGCTGAAGCCTCACTGGGAAGACCCAATGTGCCCAGTGTGATCGCAAATCATCTGCTTTTTAGAAATAACAAGAGGTTTTGAGGGTACGGCTGGGAAAGCTCTTCTCAGAAGTTATGGTCAGGCTTTGACCTCACCCATCCAATGCTGCTGATCTCTATTTCATATGGAGTACAAATTGCAGGCACACACTGATGGCAAGAAACCAGGCTAAAAGATGACCACCCTCTTTGAAATAAATAGGTCTGAAGTACCAGGACAACATGGTTATCATTAAGTTAGTACCACAGCAGATCCTCTCTAAGGCCCTGTGAAAGACAGCAGCCCTAGAGAAATGCACCGGCGAGGAGAGATCTGTAAACCAGATACTAAGGGATCATACATGCAAAGAACCAGTCGCTCACAGCCCAGACATACAAAAAGGATTTACCTTGTAGACATATGACTTAGAAAGACAGAGATGGCAGAGATGTGACAGAGTAAGAAAATATTGTATCTACAATCCTCCTGAGAGAAGGGAGGCCTGGCATGGGGTTGCTATATGATTTCTTCCCAGAGGCTTCCTGCTAAATAACTCTGCAGCCACACTGCCCGACCTAAAGGAACAATAGCTAAACATAAAGCTTTTCCTTACACCTCTCGGGGGACGGAGCTGCACAACACCTTAAGCAAAAAGATGCCCCTAGTCACATGTTCCCAGCCCAGTCTGTAGTCTATATCCATTAACCCTGGGTAGCAGCCCTGAAAACTGGCCCCATTACAAACAGGATACACTCACTGAAGAAATCTGTGCAAGACCAACTAAGTAAACAAAAGTGTAACCCGTATTACACACTCTTTACAGGAAGAGGTCTGTGTCTTAATACTCACTTTTCTCTCTCTCCTGCCTGATGACAGCAAACAAATTGACTGTCAGACTTATGACCTATGCAAAAGGTTCACTGGCAGCTCTATTTTTTAACCTTATTCTTCTATTTATTCAACATAACTTCTGTTAGCTCCACGCTCTGGTTTTCTTCTCTCATGGTGCTGCCTCCCCATGCTCCTCACTGCCCTTCTGCCAGTCTTTCCTCTGACTGGTCAGCCCATATTACCCCTTTGCTTTGGATCCACATTCCTCCTAAGTGGTTTATTTAGTCTTTTTGTTTCCTGCCTCCTTTGTTTGTACCTTAGGAGTGTCATTCACACAACCTGACCTGCAGAATCTCTACATTAAGCAGTACAGACGCCTGGACAGAAGACAAGTTTCCTCAGAAAGAAAACACTGTTTTGTAAATAGAAAACTACCAGTCTCCATTGAAGAAAACACAGAAACAAAAAGAAAGCCAGAACTCCTAAAGCTCCAGAATAACTGTCTCTGCTCTACAATAGCAAATGTTGGATGTTTCTGGTTTAGGATAAAAACTCAATAGTGAGTCCCACTAATTTGCAACAGGGGACAAAAAAAAAAAATGCATCAAACAACTCTGAATTTTAGAAAGGAACCAAGCTGGGGAGATACAGGGGGGAAACAGAGTGCTCTCAAAGAAAACCAAGAGAAAATGGAAAGACTGCAAGGAATCCAAAGCACTGACTGCAGTGATGTGGCAGACCAAAGAGCAGCACGACTAGGCAACCTTCTGATTTTCTAAGTATTTTTATAGCTCATGGTAAACCACAGTCAAACCCCTCTGTAAGCCATGACAGACAGCAGGCAGAAATTAAGATGAGAGATGCTTTTCCTGGAGTTTACCTGAGCTTCATGACATGAAGCACATGATCCGCTGGAGACAGTGCAAACTGTATCTGCTACTTGAGTGTCAAAGTAATCCTACACATTTTAGCACCTAGGGAAGGCAGGGACTGGCAGAGCCCGATACCATTGTTATGGAAGTAACTCTTTACTGTTGCACTCAGATGGGGCAATCTGAGAAAGCAAATACTGTAATGCTATGTACTCTTCAAATCTTGTTACTATAAAGAAAAGAAACCAACTGCGTTCATTTATACCATAGAAGGCTCACTACTGATTGCCATGAATTTTGAAAAATGGCACTGACATTACACAACAACTGGATAAAGCATGATAGCTCTCAGTTTTTATGGAGTGAATACACAAAGCACTGGGTGGTTTCAGTCTAATTAAATTCCACTGCTTTATTAATAAGATGCCCATTCATCACTGAATTGTACTTTTGGAAGCACTTTCACACTCTCCTATCAGGTCAGCTGTGGATGTCATGGCTAAAACACAGCGAGCAGCAAGCCTAGTGAGGGTTCTGCCATTTCATTTTCCTCCTGTCCCAACATCCAGGGTATCTGACAGAGATTGAATCTCTCCCAACTATAATAATAAGCAAAACAGTAACAGCACATTTGCTTACCTGAAAAATCAGCCTTTATTTACATATGAGAAAGCTGAAGCAAGACCCAAGAGAAAATGCTTTATTAACAGGTAAATAACTTCACGTTCTTGAAAATGTATCCCCTATTAAAATCATTGCAGAATCCTTCTCTCTATGCACACACAGACACCTGCTATCAACATTTAGTCTCAGGCCCAGATGGACCTCCCACTTGTCCAATTATCAACACAGAAATTTTTTTCAAACATTGAGACAGTGTTGGGGTTTCATCTGGGCATAGGGTAGATCCCATAGCTGCTGTGCTCAGGCAAAGCAAAAAGCTACAGCTACATAAGATAAACATCCTTTGCTAGATGTTGAAAGTGGTGGGTCATCACTGATGCACAGCAAGGCGTACTGCTTAGTCTTGGTCACCACCTGCAGGTCACCATCCTGCAGGATCAGCTTCCTCCCTCCACCAGGACTGCTCCCCTCTTCACCTTGCCTTAGCCCAACACCACCTCCATTCTCCACAGCCTCCTCTCTCCTCCTTTTTGAGCCCTTCGGAGGCTGGATGGAGGTTATTGCTGCTAGCCAGCTCCAGAGCTCACACTGCTGCGTGACACTCGCCCTGCATGGCTGCTGTTAATGGCTTTTTTCTGCACACCAGGTGTTACCCCCAAAATGGAGCTTGGGGAACACCTGCACCCCAGAAATACAGTCATTTTGTCTCCCAGTTATCAAGTCTGGAGAAAATGAAGCAGTGACACCACAACATTTTCTGACTGCAACTATTTAGCACATATTCCATATCTAACAAGTGTTCTAAACCAATTCCACAGTTATTTCTGTGTGACGTTTTTTTGTTCCTCCTTTTGCTTTGCCACTATGTATAGTGTGTATATACAAACACACATACAATACAGCCACATACAAATAACGACAGAGAAAGAAGTTTACATATTTTAAGGCCTGAAGGGAAAACTAAATTCCTTTAGCAAGATCTTCAGCATAAACATCAACATCACCCCTAACTCACTCAGCAGAACAAATTCTTCTGTCCCACTGTGTAAATGGATTCTATCAAACCCTCCCAGATTATATGTAAGAAAATCCCTGAAGGCAAAGTTTTAGCCACTATACATAGTAACCCAAGGTATTTCCCATGTGCATGGAGATGAATTATGATTGCTGTAAGAAAAAATAAGTTTATGAGGGTGTTTTTTTTTTTAGCAAAAGAGGCTGTGAAGATCGTTCAAGTGTTTTTAAACTCTGCAAAAGAGAAGGTACGTGGGGGAAAGATCCAAGAGTAGAAAATAATGCAAAAAATCCTACCGTGAAGCTGTTGTTGACATTCTTAGTGCTGGATTCTGCCACACTGGCATCTGTCAGATCCACCTCATCAAAAATAATGGACTGGAAAGAAAAAAAATCAAAACCCCAATGACTTATCGAATCCAATGTATAAGCAGCAGACCCAAAGGGACATGCCTGTATGTCTGCCTAGCACACTCCATGACAGCCTTTTGTGATCTGAAGGAAAGGCCCAGCACCAACAACATGAAGGACTGGGAAGTCTAGTTCCACACAGTGGTGCTCACACTTGCCTGTCTTCAGTCAGTGAATGCAATGACTTTATTTTTAAGGGAGTATTTAAAAAAAAAAAAAATTGTAGGCTTTGTTCTTGCGAAAGGAGACAAATTTATATCTAGTTGATTGTCAAAGTACTAAACCAGATGCACAGCAGCTCTGATTTGATAAATTCTAGCCTTCTCTCCTCCATTTCCTCTTTTCATTCATATTTTCTCCCTTCTTTTTCAGCTTCTATTGATTCAGAGCCCGTTCCCTCCTAAAAATGTACCAATGGGAAAAAATATGGAAAAAGCAGTATCACAGGTCCACATGATGCTTTACTTAAAACCCAAGGATTTCCAAGTGCGAGGCAAAACACGTGGATCTTCTAGCAGCTACAAAACCCAAAGACAGGTAGGTGCTTTCAGATCACATGCTCTTTTGTCTACTGAGGGCTGTCTTCTCACAGACACCCATCTGCCTCCAAAAGTTCTAACCCCTGACTTTCTTCCCTTGGACTCACATGTATTGTCAAGACCTTACCTTAGCGGTTTTTGCATAGTAGAGCGTTCGTCCTCGCAGCTTAAAATATCGTCTCTTCCAGCGCTGGAAGGAGCTGGTCTGTTTCATCAGCATCCCCTCTTTTATGATAGTCTACAAAACAAGGAGGGGAGAGGAGTGAAGCATACATTTTACTTACGGGCATCTTTTACGCTCTCCCACTACATACCCATTCCAAAAAGGACTGGAGTTTGAGATCAATAATCTTAGTGCCCTCTGCTGGAAGCGCTTAACAAATTCATTCAACATAAGTGAGCAAACTGAGTAAGATTAAATCGTCACAATGCATAATCCACACTGGGGTGTGGTTTTATCCTTGTCTTCAGTGCTATCATGATACCAAAAAAGATAAATAACTTATGACTGAATGAGCATTTCAAAGTCTAACAATGACTCAGGGATCTTAACAGTTAAACTCACTGAGGTCAGATTTCAGTCGTGGATAATTGTGCCTTTCATTTCATCAGCATTTGATTACAAGCACATACACACCACAGCGTATCTGTCCCTATTTCCAGTTCTGCCTTGTGAAATTATCAGCATCTACCTGGCACAGAGCTGGCAAGCTGCAGGCCCACAGGGTGAACTAGAGCGAAGAAGGAGCTATATCCAACTTCAGCATTTGGTATTCTTCAGATAGTCTTGGCCCTGCCTCAGTACTCTCTGGCTGGCTGCCATTTCCCAGGGCTGGACTGCCAAAACTGTCTACGCACACTGCTTTTTTTTTTTCCCTTTAACTGCTTTATAACTAGATTGACATACCAGCATACACAGTCCCATATGCTCACTCACATACTGTGCATACATAGGGGTATGTATTTAATCCACATGCACTTCATTCTACTTCGTCAAATACATTTGATTCCTTTGCTGAGCACAGACTTTGAACACCAACAGCTACGTGAAAATAATCTCAAAAACTGCAGCTTAGAAAGACAAAAAGGCAGAAAAAGTCTGAGCTGAGGGTTCAGCGTCAAATTACTGATTGAAGGTATTGCCTAGGAACTGCAAAAACAGTGCTATGTCATGCCTCAGTACCACAAGAAACCTACTTCTCTCCCCAAGAAACAGCCCCCAGGAACCTACTTCTTGCTGAGAGCCCAATGCGATAAACACACAGTTAAAACACAGGAAACAAATGGTCCGGCAACCTTGTAAGACAGGTTATTCTGTATCTTGATGCCAGGAAAATGACAGAGCTTTAACATACCAGAGGTCTCAGTGTAACTCAGGTTTGTAACAGAGACAGGTCACTGATGAGTATCAATTAATTCACAAACAGTATTACATGTACACTGCCAGGCTACTACGGAGCACAAAATAAATACTCTTACTGATCCACAGGGTTTAGTTCGTTTTAGAAATCCTTTCCAGGGCACTAAACTTGCTTTTAAAATGCTATATATATTTCTAATGTGGGTTTTTCCTTTCTGAAACAGCTGCAGATTTTAATACTTTCCACACACACTGGCCCTTGCCAAGCTCAAAGTTTCCTCAAAAAGCACTTGGAAAAAACTGCTGACTATAAGAAGAAACATCCGTCCGACAATACATGCTCCTCTCTGCTAGATTGAGCCATACTCGAACTGGCCCTAGAGATTATAGAGCCTGGACCACCACGGTGATGCCCCTAGTCACAAATCAGCTACGGAAGAGTGGGCTCCTACACACCTCCAGATCTGAAAGAGAGCTGCTGGCCACAGGAGCAAGTACATACCTTGCTCCACTGTGTTGGGAACGGGAAAGAGGGGAGAGCTCCCCATATCTCCTCCGAAGGAAGCATCATCTACCCTGGAGGCTGGGACCTGTGCAGCTCCCAGGCTAGCGAACCCCAAACCTCCCCGTTTCCTAGCGCTCTTGTTTCTCAAAGCCACCTGCACACTGGCAGAAATACCTGCCAGTGCTCAGGCAAATACCAGCTTAGTGTGCCTGGTTCAGTCAGGAATCTCCAAACTCCACAGTACTTCCAGCAGAACGAAGAGAGATAATGAAAATGCATGATCAAAGACTAAGGTCATATCAAAAAATGGCACGCTCCTACATCAACTCCTCACACGTCCGAAGTGGTCACTGAAAGAAAGACATCTTGGCACTCATTTTCCACCAGTCACAGCAGGGACACAGCAGTAGGAATACACTCTAAGAAGCCATAAGGTATCTGGGAGTGGTTTTAGGGTCCGGAAGTTTACCACACTATAGTGATACCCAGAAACACAATTTCAAACTAACTAAGAGCTGGTGCTACGCAAAGAATCTGAAACTCAGCCATGATCTTAATCTGAAGGTTCAGCGTAAGAGAAAATGGAGTTCAAAGACTGACCCAGCAGCATCCCTTGCTGACGTGACCCTGAAGGTGAGGCCAGAGCTGAAGGCACTCATCTGGAACCAGGAAAGGTGCATTCAGGCTCCTACTCTGCCACGGACTTTTTACAAGATCCCAATAAAGTAATTTTCACTCTGCATGTCTCCATCTCCCATCTGCCAAGTGGAACAAACAGTACTGCCCAACTCTGCAGAGTCCTACTAGAATATATATACACACGTATATGTGTCTATCTGATGAGTTACTTTAACGTCCAGCATCGGGGTACCGAAGAGTAAGGTAAAGCAACAGCATCTAAATTACCATGCTAAAGAAATCACACATTTCTGCAGTTCACTTTCTACAGGGAAGAAAATGGGAAAGTGGCAAAAGGTTTTCCAGGTTAAGATAGAAACATGGAGGGATCTTTTTCATTCCTTGGACAAAACCATGTACAATTAAAAAATGAGACAGAGAAAGTAGCTACTGAACTCTGCAAAGCCCTGAACCGAAGTCAGAGAGGCATTAAAAATCCTGGGGAAGACTCCCAGGATGCAAAGCCCAAAGATGGCAAGTCAGCCAGAAGTTTGATCAAAAAAATAGCAACTTGCCGGAGAAAATTTCAGAGCTCTGCTGCTATGCTTATTCACAGATATGCTTAAGCTGGGGTCAGCCAGAACCCCGCACTCCCCGAGCTCGGCCAGCGGCACTCCGGCCACTCAGATTCTTGCCCAGCCGACCAGAACAGTCACTCGCAGCAGAACGCCGCCGCTGCTTCCCCTCGGCTCCCACAGCTCCCGCCTGCCAGGCTCGACTCCCCGGTGCCGCACGTCGGCGGCTCCCCTCACCTCAGCAGGGCTCACTCACCTCTGCACAAGACGTGCATTCCTCCATTCCTCTTTTAAACAGAACCCTCTCTCTTTTTTTTTTTTAAAAACCAAAAGGCAACAATCCCAAGCAGTCACCTTGCCCCTCCCTAAGTAGCAGTTTATGTCATTTGCCAGCCTCTGTCTATAGAAAACCTCACAGCTACATAACTCAGACATGAAAGGCCGGCGAGAAGCGAGCTCTCGCATGCACGCACGGCTCCGAGAAAACAAGCCTCCGGTTCAGAGTTGCCCATCTCTGCACGAGCGCGGCTGTTCTATTTATAGGCACACAGCTCAGTAAAGAGTTTGGTGGGTTTGGGCGGAAAGGGCTGGAGATAAGATCAAGATGACTTTATAAAATGATTCAGACATTGCTGCCTTTCTCCTCCTCTATTTTAATTTTACAGCCAAAGGACTTGCTACTTGCAGAAGAATGCAGCTGAAGAAAATTAACTGGGAAAAGGACCTGACAGCAAAGTGACACTGAATGAAATAAAAGGGGGGGAGCTGAACAGTTATTTCTGCTTGCCAGCTTCTCTGTAGCTTTTTTAATTAGAAGATCTACTCTGATCAGATTACTAGCCATGTAATTCATCAAGACAAAAGTGAAATTACTTCTCCTGTAACAAAAAAAAAAAAGAAAAAAGAAAAAAAAGAGTTAAATCTATTTTTAGTGTCATATATTGCATCCTACAGGAAAAGCTACTGCCCTGAAACATCATGAGGTTTGATTACATGCATCCTATTGAGGATAAATATAGACATTGTTTGTGATGGACCTATCCAGACTGCTTTCTATCCAGCTGAGCTTCACTCCAGCATGGTGTCCTGTGGCCATAGCACTCCATGGGCAGACAACAATGTGAAAAAAATGAAGTATCTTCTTGGATCAAGCCTAAAATGATGTTCTACTAGTTTCAACAGTGACCCCCTTTCATCAGGTTACAAGACAGTGTAAAAAAGGCTACTGAACAAACTGACAAGTTAAAGCAACAATAGACATAGCAGAGCATCTTAAGTGTCTCTGCAAAGAACATGATTAGACAGCTGAAAGGCAGGGCCTAGGAAATTTCTAGCATTTCACCATTTATCTTTGGCCTTGGAAAAAAGCGACTTCTTACAGAAAAAAACTCAGTTCACAGTGAGCAATACACAGCCCTCCCCAGAACTCATCCCCTTTTAAAACTTGACATTTAGGAAGAGAAATAATATGTTCTCAGATTTCTTCTGTCAAAACGGGTGCAGGGTTTAGGCCTAGTCCTGAGCTGACAAAAGAAAAGTTTTGCCACTGACCTCAATGGGAATAGTTTCAAAAAACTCAGAGGACTTAAATTAAGGCCTTAAGACAGGGAGAGCCTTGTGCTTCACTGCTTCCCCTTCATGCAGTCCCACCTCGTAAAAACAAGAAGCCAAACAATTAAGAGTACTCATTCACAAAACCAGCAAGTCACAGCCGTGTTTTTTGCAGCATTACTTGTCTGAGGTGTCTCTGTATCCAGTAACCCACATCAGGAGATCAGAGAGCCAGCCTACACAGATGAAATGTTTTCTATACTGATAATGAGAATGATTCTAGTAAAAAGTTAAGAACAATCACGTCAGATTTCAGCTGCTTTCAGAGTGCATCCCTTTTTCTCCTGCTCACTACATGAAGCACAGGAGCAGCCCATCCTTTCTGAAGCTTAAGCCTCTTGTCCCATTTGGAAGTAGGGCCCTTGATATAACCAATTTCCTAATCTGGAAGACAAAATCCTATTAGCCAGACTGAAGGCAGCTATCAACCGTACCCAGCTGTCAGACTGGCAAGTGTCCTTTGGCACAGGGAGGTTCCAAACTGTGTTTGATATAGAGAGAGGAAGAACAATACAACCTATTTTACAGCTGAGATCATGACATATTCTTAGGGGCAGTTATTC